AATTATGAACGAACAATCATTTCAGAAATCACAAATGAAACTAATTTATCCTTATATAACAACTCTGAAAGTGTGCTTGTTAGTGTATCAGGTCTTTTTAAAACATTTTGAGATGATCTAGAAAGGTAAAATTTGGTGTGAGTATACTGTTTTTGTTTGTGGTCAAAAGGAAAAATCCTGGAATATCTAATTTTCAGTTCCATTCTATATAATTTTAGCTCCAGAAAGAGGGTGCACATTAAAGTAAAAGATAACGAATATAATTAATTGTCATTTAATTGGTCTCAGAATATGAGAAAGTAGCTGAATAATTGGGTAACTACTTCTCTTAGTGGTTCCCAATTTTTTGCTTTAAAACAATTGAGTATCATCTGATTGATCTTTAAAGCAATGTACAGGATCACTATGTGATTTTGGCATGTAACTTGGAAAAAGTTCAAGGAATTGAGTGACATCATTATAACATTTCCTGGCACAGAAAGTTAATACTGCCATCATAGAGCAGTTATGTTAGTATAAAAAATGATTTACAGACCAATGACATATTTAACAAATTCTAACTAATCTAATAGTAAGTACACCAAAGGAGTAAATGCTTTTTTTAAAAAAAATGAAGGTGATTTTTTAAATATATATTTTCATTTATTTCAGAGATGGAAAGGAGAGATAGAAGCATCAATGATGAGAGAGAACAATTGACTGGCTGCCTCCTGTATGCCCCTTACTGGGGATTGGCCCACAATCCAGGCATGTGTCCTTGACCGAAATTGAACCTGGGGGACCTTTAGTTTCCATTCCAATGTTCTATTTGCTGAGCCAAACCAGCTAGGGCGATGCTTTTGTTTCTTATGAAAGATAGATTTGCCAACAGTTTTACAAAGAACCTCTACAGTTTGGGAAGACATCCTCAAGCTGAAAGTCTATCTCCTACGAAATAAGCTATTTATTAAAAAACTTGGGACTTTACCTGTCCAGAGAGCCATGTTGAAAAAAACCACCTTTTGGATTTTCAGAGTTGAGGAGAAAATTCACATTTAGCTTGATTGGGAAGTGTGCTAATAACAATAGGCGAATTATTCTGAGGATATTCTGAATGATCAAGATTTTGGGGATGAGACCCCCAAAAAGGAAGGCATATTAAGGACTAATGATAATCAAAGCTAATTAACTTAAGGATGAGTGCCTAGCATGAGTTTGAGAAGATTATAGCTGGCTTTTAGCTGTATTTCAAAGGAGAGTTCTACAGCCAAAGTTCCCAACTGTTGATGAATTTGCCCTTCTTCAGGCCGTTGGCACGGTAACACGGCTTTTAAAGCTTGACCCCACCCAGTCTAGAGGTGCAGCATTTGCTTGGATGTAATGAATTGCTGAAACTCAAAAACTCATCTCTCTGGTTCTGGATAACTCCTCTAAGAGAAAATATAAATCTCTTGTTTGGTTATAACATCACCATATGATCCTTTACACTGATTACACTGCACAGGATTTTATAGTGATTTCACTGTACCATTTAGTAAATTTGGTTCTCACAAAAACTTTATAAAGTAGGCAAGACAGGTCCTCAGAATGTATGATTTCATTGATATAAAGCTCAAACTAGGCAATCATGTTAGAAGCTGTAATGGTTACTTTTGAAAAGCAGAGACTGGGATAAAGCATCAAGGAACCTTTTAGAGGTGTGATAATGCCTTGTGATTTCATGGGTATGTTCACTGTATAATTCATGGATCTCTATTCTTCTGATTTGTGCATATTCTGTAAATATGCCATACTTCAATAAAAAGTTCATTATATTTTTTCAATGCCATGGTCTTCATCACTGCATCATAACGGCCCACAAATAAAATATTTAACAGACATACGTAGCTAAAAGTGGCAGTAAAAATACTGAATGCATTATAAAAACAAACTGATTGTGAATGCAAAATTACTTGCTTTTTAATTCAACTACTTCAATTTATTTCATAACCATCTCAAACCTGTTAGAAATAAGAAAAAAAAATTTAAGTATAAAACAAAACAAAAACTATCACCCTATAGTTAAGAATACAGCATTTTCCCCCCTTACTGTCACCCATATTTCTCATCTGTATAATTTCTCAACTCTGGTTTTTCTTATCCTATATAATTAAAGCCTAATATGCAAATTGTCCCCTTGGGCAGGTTGACTGTTTGCTATGATGTGCACTGACCACCAGGGGGCAGCACGGAACATGGTGACGCAGTGCAGGCAGCAGTGGAGGTGCAGCCAACCCTGATGAATGAAATGGGACTGCAGAGGACTGGTGGAGCAGGTGAGCTGGAGGCGCCAGACCAAGGTGGATGCAAGTGGTTGATTGCCCTGCTGATTGCCCCACAGAAGGTGTGACCAGCGGCAGCAGTGGGGAAGGGCTGCTGCCAGCTCTCAGGCACTGAGGGAGCCAGGTGGGGGGCTCAGCCCCAATCTATTGCCCCACAGGTGGGATGGTGGAGCAGGTAAGGAAGCAGTTCCAGGCCAACACAGGGTGCCAGGCAGGGCTGTGTGGCTGGGAGCGTGAGCTGGGGCCTGATTTGTATACCAGGCCACTAGTTTTCCATAATTCTCTACCTTCTTTCCTATTTCCCCTAATCCTCCAAGATCTTTTCCTAGGCAACTGGTGATTATAAAACAAAAGCATACTGGGAAACTTCCTGGGTCAGTTTAGGACCTATCCAGCTCTTTCATCTCTTTTATTTTATCTTCTTATCCTCCAATTCCATAGTCTTTTCCTGCTATATCATTTTCTCACATCTCTCCCCCTGTTTCTGCCTCTATTCTTCTTCCTAATTTTACTCCCCAAGTCTATCTGAAGCACATATATTAGTAAAAGGTAACCAGCTAATATGTATTCTCATTAAACTATGTTCTATATAAAAAGACTTGAAGCTATACTGTTAGAGGGATGGCTGCACAGATGAAAAGAGTCAGCTGTGTTTTTTGTGTTTTTTTTTTTTTTTATGACAAATACAAAGGAACTGATGTTTTTGCAGTTTCTCCACACTTGAAACTATGCATGATTTTCAAATCTTTTTCTGGCCCAAACATCGAGGAACCTGACATTAACACCTCTAACAGATGGTTAGTTTTATGTGTAATAAAGCTGGGCACAGTGCCCAGATATATGGTCAAATATTGTTTGTTTCTATGATGATGAACATTTTAATCAGTGAACTTTGAGTAAAGACATAATGGTGAGCTCATCCAATTGCTAAAGGTCTTAACAAAGACTCATCTCCTCTGAGCAAGAAGGAATTCTGCCAGCACACGGTCTTTGGACTCAAATTACTACTACTCTTCCCTGGGTCTCCAGTCTACTGGCTTTTCCTACAGATTTAGACTTACTAGCCTCCACATCATATGAGCCAATTTCTTAAAATAACTCTCTCTACACACATACAAATCCCCCCCCCCCCACACACACACCCACACCCTCCCCCCCCCCTACACACACACCCTGTTTTGTTCTCTGGAGAACATGACTAATACAAGTAGCTATGGTAGTGATTCTCAGCTAGAAATGGTGGGGGCAAGGTGCAGTCTACAGAAAAAACACAGGGGTTGGGGATGATAGATATTTTTTCTTGTTGTTAATCCTCACCCATTGATTTTTAGAGAGTGGAAGGGGAGGAGAGATAGGAGGCGGGGAGAGTGGGGGGGGGGGAAGATTGCTGTGAGAGAGACACAAAGGGACACAGAGACATATACTGGTTGCCTCCCCCATGTGCCCAGATCAGGCTTGGAATCAAGTTTGCCATTGAGACACATGTCCTTGACGGGAATCAAACCGAGGACCCTTCAGTCTGCAGACTGATGCTCTATTCACTGAGCCAAACTGGCTAGAGTGATAAGTAATTTTAAAAAGGCCTGATGCAGACCTTATAGAATATCTACTCAGAAGTTATTTACTAGTCTTCTTCTATTGCAGAGGCTGGAATACTAAAACAAAATTTTTGGCTTCCCTTATATGTAAGAGAGCTGTGGCCAAATTCTTGAGAAAGGCATCCTTTGCAAAAGAACAGCCGATGCATCACTAGGAAGCACTGTGCTCTCTAACTATTCTTCCTGCCCGGACCACTAAGGAGCCAGATGTAAAAACAGTGCCTGAGGGAGCTGATCCTCAGCTCTAGGGCCGCTCCCCCCATTCCCCAGTGTTCATGTGCAGTATCTTGTACAAGAGTGTAAGTACAATCTGGCTGCTTAGGCCAACCTGTCCTGAAAGCAGAAATACTTAACCTATGTTTTCATATTGTTACTTTTAAAAACATAGCAGAACTCAGGCTCCACTGAGACAACCTAAAGGTGAAATCTGCAGTGGGACGGACTTCGACTGGAAAAATTTCCTGAAAACAATGATTACAAAATACTGACAATTATAACTATGAACTACTAAGGAAGGCTATTAAATATCCTTTAAAAAGCGTCTTTTGAAAATATGACCTGAAAAAGAATTCAAAAAAAGAAAAAGAAAAAAGAAATGACAGATGTGTATACAGTGGAAAAGACTGAAAACTATGTATGAAAGTAGTTGTTTTGGGGCAGGAGAATTTAAAATAAATTATATTTATTAAAAAAAAAAAAGAAAGAAAGAAACTATGACCTGAATTATTTTATAACATTCCACTATAAAGACAAGAATTAGATAAGAGCAGCACTTTGACATCATTTCCATTCTATAATACATTTTGATTTAAAAGTTTTACCTCAGTATACTTTCTATATTTATTATAGGAGAGCTAAAGAGTGCTATATAAAAATCACAATATAATAAAACCTCAGTAACAAACTTTTAAGAAGGAACTTATTGGCCAAGTTGATAAAAAAATGTAAATTAAATGCCCAAATTTTCTAACAATTTTTTAAGTCAACACTATCATATTTTTAAGGCTATCAATGACGTACCTCTAAAAATATTGTTTTCTTCATACCTGTCTAGAAAAAGAAAAGTCAAGTGCTATTAATGATTTCAAAATTCTGTGTTTACCTTTTTTCTCTCCAGTGTAGGGCACATAGTCTTCCCGGTCCTTATGCTCCAAAGCTTCCTTCTCCAGATATGACAAGAGGTGTTCTCTGTCAAAGGGCCCCGTGGCCGGCTTTGAGGTCTGGTTCTTCTGTCGGAACCCTGCAGGCAGAAGGGCATTCTGCCAAAGAGAAAGAATCAACTATTATGACCACCAAGAATGCCGATTTTCATATGCTTGCATAGATTACTCAGAGAAGAAACAATTTTAGATTAGAATATGACGTAGGCATTAAACACTGTATTACAGAATTTTAGGGTTGCAATGTAAAAGTGTTCCAAAGTTTTTTCTTAAATTAGGTAGTATTAAAATAGGTACAAACATTTTCTTTAGCATTCTACAAGCAGGAAAATCCCTTTACTTTAAAAATGTCCTGGGACAATATTAAAAAGATTTTTAATGGTTACTAACAGCTTAGCATACATGTAAATATAGAAAATAAATCCATCACAAAAGAATGTTAAATGTCACTTCACAGTGACTTTTATTTCCTTGTAAAGACTTTCTCATTAAAAAACAACACATGTATATCAAGCCCTAGCCGGGTTGCTCTGCTGGTTAGAGCACCCTTCTGACACCAAGGTTGCTGGGCAGGGCACACATAAGAATCAACGAATGCATAAATAAGTGAAACAACAGTTGATGTTTCTCTCTCCCTTTCTCCTAAATCAATTAATAAACAAAACAAAATAAGTATATTGCCCGGGCGGCGTGGTTCAGAGGTTGAGTATCGACTTATGAATCAGGTCAAGGTTTCATTCCCAGCCAGGGCACATGCCCTGGGTGCAGGCTCAATCCCCAGTGAGGGGTGTGCAGGAGGCAGCCGATCAATGATTTTCTGTCACCATCACTGATGTTTCTCTCTCTTTCTCCCTCTTCATCTCTGAAATTAATTAAAAAAATACATGTATAAAAAATAGAACAGTCACATCAGTAAACTGGAAGTAGAAGGGGAAAACTGGAGAAGAGACAAAAAGTTAATTTAAATAAAGAGGTGTCAGTGAAGACTTGGTTTGGGTGTGAACACACAATGCAATATACAGATGACGTATTATAGAATTGAACCCCTTAAACCTGTAATTCTATTAACTAATTCAGTTAAAAAAAATTATACATATACATGGGGGGAAAAAAGAGGTGCCAGTGAAAAGTCCTAAAAAATGTTAACTGCTCAAAGGCAGCTACTTACTTTCAAAGGGTTTGAAAAATTATTTCATTTTTCTTCATTAGCTAGCACCCACCTCAGGGTCAAGATCATCCAGCACAGTTTCCAGTTGTTTCAGTTCTATTTCTGACAGATTCCCAAGGAGCTCATCTTCATCCAGGTCCTTGTACTTTTCTAAGTCCTTCCGGAACGGTAGTGCCATGGTCTGCAGTGTCACTTCGTTTCTGCTATTCAATGTAGTCACAAGTGATTTCTATTTTTTTTTTTAAACTATGGAGAGAAGAGACAAAAACATTTAAAACATCATCTCCACCTACTTAGATCGATAATTAGGTTCAACAAAAATATAATTTCCACGTGACACATTCTTTGACCATATATCACACACCACCCTTTTCTATGGATCATTCAATGCCTTTACCTTTTGTCTTTTGTTAACAACAAAAATAAACCGGAGAAAGAGAGGGGAAGGAGAGAATAAAATTCAAATCCACAAAAATGTCTACTTGACAGCATATAGATTTTCTGATAACTAAGTTTTAGGGTAAAAAGATTATATAATTTGTGCGAAAATACAAATTTTTCCACCAATGGCTTTTAAATGTTACTTTGCTTAAGCACAGTATGTTTAAGGTACAGTTGTTTTATTGTAAATTACTTAGAAGGACATTATTTTCTGACTCAACATTAACATGGGGTGATACCAATGCATTCCCCTTGAAGAAATGGTGGCCTCTTGTCATAGGGAAAATTTTTTTTGAGAAGTGCATGGTTTAAAAGGCGCTTTAAAAGGAAAAAATACTGTATTCTAAAACTTGCAGTAAAATATTCAAAACCATGCTGAGCTATCTCACCCACTAACTAGCAAGGCTGGTCAGGAGAATCTGATTACAGAAAGGACTTTCATCATTTCCTTACTGTGTGGATCTCTTCCAAAAAGCTACGAGGTGACTCAATAAGCAGCATCTTTCCAGTTACCCACAGGACTGTTATATAGGAAAGGATACTTAAAGTAAAAAAGTGAAGCAAAAATTAAGTATTTCTAGGAATTTTAGCCATATACGTGGACAATTTGTCTCATGAAATATTCCTATGTGTGTGCCCTACCCAGTTTGGCTCAGAGGATAGAACATTGGCCTGGGAACTGAAGGGTCCTGGGTGGGTTCGATTCAGTTGTAGATTCTATCCCTGACCCTGTTAGGACATGTGCAGGAAGCAACCAATTGATGTGTCTCTCTCATATTTCTTTCTCTGTATCTCTCCCCCTCCCTTCCACTCTCTCTAAAAATCAATAGAAAAAATATCCTCAGATGAGGATTAACAACAACAACAACAACAACAATGTTTGGTGTGGATAAAAAATAATCTTTAGACTTAATGATGTTAAAAATTTTCTTGGCTGCAAAACGCCCAGTATTTCAAAGTTTGGATATATTTCCTTTACACACACCCCCACTCTTGTTTTCCCAACTTAATATCATATTTTAACTAATATATTTTTCTCCTCAATTCAGTAACATTTTATGGATCCTTTTAGGCATTTTCATCTCTCAAGAAAAAATGAAGGTTCACCACAGGGGTCTATCAGTTAATGAAGTGACTAGTAACCACCTGGGTCCTGTAAAAAGCAAGTTAACATAACTGTGCTTGTGCAGATGTTAAATTGCAGGCATTTTGTAATTGCCCGAGACAGATCTGGCTTACACCTGTTCTACTAACACCACATAGATTTAGCACAGTTAACCTAAACTTTTCTGTTAAAAAAATTATTGTTATCATTACTAAGTTTGGTAAACCTCTACTTTGTATTTCCAACTTAAAGATAGCAAGCTTACCAAGTATCCTGAGAGTGTGCTTTCTCAATTAAAAATAATACTGTCTGCAGAGAACAGTCAATGGAAAGTATCAGCACTATCAAACACAGTAACCATAAAATGCAACTTTAAAGAAGGTGGGGCATGCAATTTTAGAAGAAAAGATAAACAATTAGACCACACTGAAAAAAAAAATTCCCTTCATAAACAGACATTTTGAAACAAAGGTAAGAAATTGATAGAAGTTTAAGAACATGTACCAAGAGTAATTAATTACTTCATGCTATTTTTTTAATGTTTGGAAAATCAATATAAAATACATTTTCAATATATTTTAATATAATATACTGACGTTTACAGTACAGTCATGTGCCGTCAACAATGGACTGAGCATCCAAAGATGGTCCCATAAGATTATCATGGGGCTAAAAAATTCCTCTCATCTAATGTAGCCCTTTAATGTAAAACCCAACAGCTTACTCATGTGTTTGTGGTGATACTGGTGTAAACAAACCTACACTTACTGTTCTGGCAATGGTATAAAAGCCTAGAACATATAATTACATATAGTGCATAATACCTGATAATGTTAATAAATGACTACGTTCTTGGTTTATGTATTTACTCTATGATTTTATTTTATTTTATTTTATTTTTAATTATATTTTGATTTTTTTTACAGAGAGGAAGGGAGAGAGATAGAGCTACAAATGTCAATGAGAGAGAAACATCGACCAGCTGACTCTTGCACACCCCCTACTGGAGATGTGCCCGCAACCCAGGTACATGTCCTTGACAGGAATCGAACCTGGGACCTTTCAATCCGCAGACCGATGCTCTACTGCTGAGCCAAACCGGTTTCGGCTTACTCTATAATTTTAAAGTGTATTCTTTCTACTTTAAAAAAAAACAAACACCTTTGCTGTAAAATGCCTTACCCATCTTGTTTATTGCATCTCTTGATACCATAATTTTCTCTTGTGTTTGATTTAACCATATGTTGTTTAATATAGGGTTGTAGCCTAGGAGCAAGGCTAAGTCATATAGCCTAGGTGTGGAGTAGGCTATAGCATCTAGGTTTGTGTAAGTGCACTCTGTGATGTTCACACAATGATGAAATTGCTCAATGATGTATTTCTCAGAACTTATCCCCATTGTTAAGCTAATTATATAATAGAGCTAATTTCTTAGCCAATAAATATTTCAAAAAAATACTTATTATTTTAAGCATCTCTTTTCTTTACACTCCAAAGTATCCCAGCCTGGGCCATAAATTCAATGGTCATCCAACTAAGAAGGTATTGTAATAGATAATATGATAGGAATGAGGTATCAGAATAAAGGCAATATATATAATATCATCCGGGTTTTATAGGTCAAAAATATGACATTCCTTAGAATGAGTAAAATAGTTTACTCCAATAGATTGCTCTTTATTCCAAGTATTAGAGGCCTGGTGCACAACATTTATGCATCCTTTTGCAGTCTTGGAGGATGTCCTTGGAGGATGTCCCACTGCTGGTGTAGGCCCAGCCGTGAGCCCAGCTTCTGGCTGAGCAGTGGTCCCCTGTGGGAGTGCACTGACCACCAGGGGGCAGCTCCTGCATTGAGCATCTTCCCCCTGGTGGTTAGTGAATGACATAGCAAACGGTTGTTCCACCATTCGGTCAATTTACAAATTAGGATTTTATTATATAGGCTAATCTGTCATACAAAGAAAGCCTCTTTATATACTAGTAGGGACCCAGTGCATGAATGTGTAAATCTTGAAAGGAACTGTGGGCCACGAGCTGTGATGGGCACAGGAGTGGGACTTGACCCATCCTCCGTGTCCCCACCCAGCCCCTTCCACTGTGGCCCCCAGTCTCGTCTACCAGCAGCCCCACTCCTGCTCGCACCTATTGATAGCACAGAGTGACTGGGGCCAGCGTTAACAGCAGGTGCAAGTGGGGCAGCAGTCTCCAGGAAGAGGGGGAGGTGGAGAAGGAACAGGGGGAGGAAGGAACTGCCTCTTGCACACCCCCTACTGGAGATGTGCCCGCAAAACCAGGTACATGGTCGATGTTTCTCTCTCATTGACGTTTGTAGCTCTATCTCTCTCCCTTCCTCTGATTGCCTCCAGGAACAGGGGGAGGTGGAGAAGCACTCAGGGGCGATCGGGGCCAGTGCTGGATGCCAGCAGCAGGAGTGAACAGGGCTAGGGCCGGCACTGGGTGTGAGCACCAGCTACAGCACTGGCAGTGGGTGCAAGAAGCAGATGCCAGCCCTGATTGCCCCGCAGGAGCAGGGGGAGGTGGAGAATCCTTGAGGGGAGATAGGGGCTGGTGCCAGGCCCTGGCAGCAAGTGTGAACGGTGCATGGAAGCAAATAATTTTCAGTAACCACCAAAGGCTTGCTCGGATGACAGCGATGGCGCCCCGCCTTGGTCTGGCACCCCTGCTCACCTGCTCCACCATCCCGCCATGGCTGATGCCTGCCATGTTCCACGCACTCCCCCTAATAATCAGTGCACATGATAGTGACTGGTTGCTTGTTTGCCGTTTGGTCTATTTGCATATTAGGGTTTTACATATGTAGATTGCTTAAAAAAATAATAAAATGAATGCCTATCTTCAGAGAGAGACCATTACTATGTTCCCCATGCCAGTGGCATCTCTCTCCTCAAAAGAAGTAGCCACTGTACTGAATTTTGGATTATTTATTCTTTGGTGTTCCTCTACATTTTACCTTAAATGTACATATTCTTAGGAGTTTTAGTTTTCCCATTTTATTTTGCATTTTATATATATACTCATACAGTATGCATCCTTTTGTGACTTGCATTTTTCATTTAAGATTGTTCTGAGATGATGCTGATGGCTTTACTTCTTTCATTTTCATTTCTATATAGAATTCAATTGTATAAATGAATAGTTACAATTCATTTACAATTATACAAGTTACAATTATACAAGTTTTTTATAGTCTTCCCCTCTCTATTTTTCTGCTATAAACCATCTTGTTATCTACTTCCTGGTATACATGTGCAAGAGTTTCTCAAAGCTGTTCAAATCTAGGAATGAAATTACTGGGAAAGGATATGCTCATACTCAACTGTATTGGGTAATGTCAAACTATTTTTTAAAAAAAATATTTTTATTGATTTCAGAGAAAAAGGGATCAAGAGAGAGCGCGAAGCATTAACAATGAGAGAAAACCATTGATTATCTCCCTGTGCTCTACTAGGAATTGAGCCTGCAACCTGGCATGTGCCCTTAACTAGGAATTGAGCCGTGATTTTCTGGTTCCCAGGTAGATGCTCCACCACTGAGCTATACCAGCCAGGCTAAAACTATTTTCAAAGTGATTATACCAACTTATAGCTCTAACAGATTCAGTACATGACAATTCATGTTGTTCATCCTTGCTAACTG